TGGGATTAAATAAAATAATATTTAATATTTATTTTTAACAACTTTTTCTGAATGTAATTCTAACATTTTAAACTCCGTAAACATTATTCTCAGTATTCGAACGTAAATGAGGAATTTCAAAAATATGTTTACCCGCTGTTGATTTATTTTTGTTGTAATCCTTATCACGTTTTGCTGTCATTTTGTCATTTTTGCCGAACTCTTAATGAATTCCTCACACGCGCAAACTTTCAATAATTCAATTGCAGTAACTAAGTTGATCTTTTTTTGAGGGTTTTGCCGTTGGGCTTAACACAAGCAGCGCACAAAAATTACGTATTTTTTCGTCGACTGTGAGACGTTCAAATACCGCAAAAATGCCGTTAATGTATATTTTTAACACGCGACAAAATACGTCCGCACTGGCCGAGCGTTAACCGAGCACTAAAATCCGAAACGAACTGCACAGAGCTCGCGCCTCGAAACAGCGTCGAGTATACAGTACACAGAAGCTAACGGTAAGCGTAACGGTAGAAAGGTACTTCGACTTTTCGTTTTTACTTGGCCCGTCGCCGACGCCGTCGCTTATGACGCCCGCCGCGTGCACATCGTTCGTACAAAATTTGCCGACTGAATGGCTTGGTCTGACGCTCGCCACAGCCACAACCATTGCCATCGCCATCGCCATCGCCATAGCCAGCGCCGTTGSCAGTGCGAGCGTCGTGTGGCGCAGCAACCAAAGCAGATTGGAGTCAACCAACAATAAAAACAAGAACAAGCTAAAGCAACAACAGCAACAACAGTGGCAACGGCGGCAACAGCAACGCCTGGCTGACTGCCTGGCACGTTAATGGTGGTTGTGGTAATGGTTGCCACACACACACAGCCATACTCGTACAACGGCAGCAAAGCTTTAACGACGACGACGGCGGCATGTTGCCAGTTGTGGGCGGTTGGGCGTTGGCAAATGCGGCAAATGTCAGCCAGTCGACGTGCCGCCACCGACAGTCGGACGGACGGCGTGACCATGTCTGGCTTTGGCGAGCACAGAAAGTTCGCACGTACGCGCGCGCCTCACACACACATACACTCACTCGCATTCTGACAAACCCTCATGCACACACACAAACACATGCACACAGTGGCGTACAAATCAATTCGTTTAGGCACAAATAGAATATGCCAGCAAACATTTTAATGGGAGCTTGAGAATAAAAATAATGTGAATATGAAAATATTTTAAATATCATATATT